AATAATTGAATCACCACTCTGTGATCTGCCGATACTATGCAGTGACATTTGTAATCCTAGGTTTGCCAGATTTTTATGTTTCTAGCTCAGAGAAGTAACCAAAGGAGAGTAGCCAAGAAGCTATTTTGGGAAAGGCCTGTGCAGGCACTCTAGATTAGGATGCTGTGCCCCTGCTCACTGATGGCTCAGACAGTGGAAATTAGAGGACCCAAAAGCTCCTCTGCTAGTCATCTGCAACATGTCTTTACTGTTGATGAGCAGAATTCAGAACGCCTAAGAATTGCATACTTAACAGAAGCTCATCCAAACCTATTTGGTCTGGATAATGGGCTGGAAATCAAGCTCTTGCTGAGAGTTTCTAGTTCAATCAAGTCAGAAAATTACATGAATCTCGATTTTTAAAATACATATGTTTCATAATATGATTGAAGGAGTACCTTGGTCTTGAGTTTTTAACCAGCTAGCCCCCATTTCTGTCACCCTTACCTCAAATCAAAAAATTCACAGGGATCTATCCTACAAAATTTAATTGTATTCAAACTGCCTAAAAAGGAATACTTGCTTAAGGTACTTGGTCCAACAGAGGGTATCAAAAGACAGGCTGACTTCATAGAAATTGCAGAATTTTATGTAAAAGTGTGCCCACTGAAGCATTTGTTTTCATCCTGTTTGTATGTTTTACTGCAGCACTTTCACAGTGACATGTTCCTGGGGCCTAATGTCCTCATGTAACACGAGAAAAACAAAATTTGTTTTAGTCTCTTAGAGAATTGAGAATTGTGTACAAAAACCTTAAATAAAGTAAAAGGATGAATACATTTACAGGTGTAAATGCAAACCACTTCCAACTCAAGGCAAGCCCTGGTGTTCTAGCAGGAAAACATCAGGTGAGAAAGGAAACTGAATCCGAAGGCTTGGACTCCTGCAACCCTCACAGACTGGCAAGACAGAAAGGACAACTGGTTCAGTTTTGTCAGCCTCTAGAGAAATCCTGAAGCACTCAGTTCTGACACAGTAATACCCGCACAGATCAAGGGACTGCTGGTCATGCAGATTCACCAAGCCACAGACTTCTCCTCCAAAAACATGTTCTCACCTCAGCCAGAAAGTGATAGAGCAACATGCACTAAAGGTTTACATCAAAGATATGTACAGGGTATTAAACAAATACCAAGGGAACAATTCACTTGAATACAAGGTCAAAGTCAGCAGCAAAGTCTATAATCCAGTGCTGATATTAGATACAAGTTTCAAGGACCAATTTCTTTTCAAAGGCTTATTCCAATTTTGTGAGGTTAGCATGTGGTGTATACATTTGCCTGGGGCAGATTTATACTTCTGAATTAACTCATGCAGCAAATGCTATGCATCTGCTCACAGTCCATTTAGAAGCATTTGCAGTGGATGATGGAGGCGCCAGCTCATCACACTCCTGCTTGCTGATCTACCTCAGCTGGAGGGAGGACAGGGAGGCTAGGATAAAGCTACCAATTCATTCTGAGTACTTGCCTTCAAGGGGAGTAATGATCTTGATCGTCATGGTGCTCAACACCAGGGCGGTGATCTCCTTCTGCATCCTATCGGTGATCCCTGGGTATATGTTAGTGTCATCAGACAGCACTGTGTTGGCAAACAGGTCCTTGTAGATGTCCACATTGCATTTTATGAAGTTGAATGTGGTCTCATCGATGCCACAAGGTTCCACTCCCAGGAAGGAGGGACACTGGAACCTCTCGTTGCGAGTGGTGATTACCCAGCTGTCTGGAAGCTATTAATTCTTCTCTAAGGAGGAGCTGGGGACTGGTGGCCATCTTCTACTGGAAGTCCAGGGAGAGATAGCACATCTTCTCCTTGATTTTGTGCATGAGTTCCTATTTGGCTATGGAGGCGAAGCTGTAGCCTTGCTCTGTGAGGGTATTTGTGAGGTAGTCAGGTCCCAGCTAGCCAGGTCAGATGCAGAATGGCATGCAAGAGAGTGCAGACCTGGTAGAAGGGCACTGTGTTGGTGACCCCGTCACCAGAATTCATCACAGTGCCAGTGGTGCTGCCAGAGGAGTGCAGGTATATCACAGCCTGGATGGCCACCTGCATGGCTGGGGTATTGAAAGTATCCAACATTATCTGGGTCATCTTCTCATGAGTGGCCTAGGGGTTCAGGGAGGCCTCGGTCAGCAGAACCAGGTGCTCCCCAGAGGTGTTTTGCAGCTGGCTGTAGATGTGGTGCCAGATCTTCTCCATGTCATTGCAGTTGGTGATGATGCCATGCTCAGTGGGGTGCTTCAGGGTCAGGATGTTGTGCTTACTCTGGGCCTAAAAGGAGTCCTTCTGGCTCATGCCCATCATAATGCCCTGGTGCCAGGGGTGCCCAATGATGGAGGGGGAATATGGGTTGGGGGGTGTTGTGCCCAGCAAAGCCAGCTTTGCACATGCTAGAGCCATTGTCAATGACCAGCCTGTGATGTCTTCTTTCACTGCCTTGGCCAAGGAGCCAAGTGTCCCAGCTGGGAGAGAAAGTGGAGCATGGGTCAGGCCAGTGATGAGTGAGCCTATTAGAGTCTTTAAAAATACTGTGTGTAGAAACTATAAATTGAAACACAGAAGCTGTTGAAAGCAAAACCCTTCCCCTCCTTTCCCCAAAACGGAAAGAGGAAGGACGAAAGGAAGGAAGGAAGGAAGGAAGGAAGGAAGGAAGGAAGGAAGGAAGGGAGAGAGGAGGGAGGGAGGGAAGGAAAGAAGGAAGGAAGAAAAGAGGGAAGGGAGGGAGGGAGGGTTAAGAATGTAGTCAACCATATAAGTAATGGCCCCTCTCATAACTACAGATAATTTTTCTCCCTATCAAAGGTACTAAATTATGTGAAAGGCCACCTCGTCTACTATGTGCAAAGGAAGAGGGAATGTAAAACAGAAGAGAAGATCATACTAGTAATTCAAATTCCTTAAGTGATGAGGATTTCTGGAAATATCAGTAAACAGAATAATGTTCTCCAAAAGGCTGAGCTTTCATTCAAAAACCCTGTGAGAGCCTCTTTTTGGATGACCTGGTGAAGAGCTGTGACTTGGGTTGGAGTTAGCAGTTTGGAAGCCATAACGTTTTCAATCTAGGCTGCACACAGTGGCTCACGCCTATAATCCTAGCACTTTGGGAGGCCAAGGCAGGAGGATCCCAAGGTCAGGAGATTGAGACCATCCTGGCTAACATGGTGAAACCCCGTCTCTACTAAAAAATTAGCCAGGCGTGGTGGCACGCACCTGTAGTCCCAGCAACGCGGGAGGCTGAGGCAGGAGAATTGTTTGAACCCAGGAGGCAGAGGTTGCAGTGAGCCGAGATTGCACCACTGCACTCCAGCCTGGGTGACAGAGCAACACTTCATCTCAAAAAACAAAACAAAAAAAGTTTCCAATCTAGGCATTTCCCATTTCTTATGGCCTAGTTGGTATGTCTAAGGAAATTTACACAAGGGCTTCAGCTCCTCATAGACCCTAAAACTATTTGCAAAATTACCTCTAGCCATTTAGTTTTCTGAAGCTACATGAACCACACTCACATTTACTTAAGCCAATATGTCCTACTTCATATTGTTCTCTCTTTATTTTTTCTATTTTTTTAAATCAGCATTTACCTATCGGAAAGACAATCAGGTCTTCTCTTGCCCTGAATTCAGGTCCTTCAAGGCTCTCAACAGTGTTACAACAAGCAGAAATCTTAGCGATGAAGTTATTGCAACCCCTCCATTTTATAGGAGAGGAAACTGGGATCAGCATAGGCATGAGACTTATCTGTGGTCACAGAATGATTTTCTGCCAAACATAAATCAGCATGCGTAGTAGAAAATGACAGGTCTCTGAAGTTAAAGAGACTGTATAAGAGTCCCAGTTCTACTTGCTGTCCTTGTGGCCTCAGGCATGACCATGTAACCACAGTCTCTATAATGTCATCCATAAAATGGGGATAATAAAATAAATAAGGGATTGTGTGGACTGGGCCAGGATAGGCTTCAATAAATGTCCATTTTCTTTCTTTAAAATACAAGACACCAAAACAAGTAAAATATCCAAGAGATTAAGATGGACAAATTTCCCAACTTATATTAGGCCATGTGAAAATGAAGTACTACTTCTATTCTTAGTTGATCTCTGTAATTTTTAAAATTTTCTTAAAACCCTGTATCTCCATAGGAGCTCCCTGAAAAAGAAATATTTCTACTAATGAAGAACCTAGAGTTCCTACGCTTCCCTCTTGGCGCCTGGGAAGTGGGTTTCCCTCACACTGTGAGAGTGTGAGGACTCCTCGACATTGGCCTAGATTACTTAGGATGTCGCTCAAGGTCCAGGGGATGGGACCCTCGAGTTTGATGAGCTTCACATAGTAATCATCAAAAATCAGGCTGAGCACTTGCTATGGAATCAGGAAAATTACCAGATGGATGGACTGGGGTGAATATAAAACATAGCCTGATTTTGGAAGTTAGAAGAAAAGAAAGATAACTGGCAATAATGCCCTGTAAACATCACTTCCAATCATAATCTTATATACACATATATATACACACACACACATATATATACACACATATATATACACACATATATATACATATATATACACACATATATACATACATATATATACACATACATATATTTATACATACACATCTCTAAGTAGCAGGAGAGTGATGATATCAGGAACAATAGTGACTTAGGATTCAAAGAGACAAATCATTCCTGCACAATAGCTTTTTTTTTGACAGAGTTATGAATAGATAAAGGGGAAATTCAAGAGATGTAATATATCTTATGTTGGTAAAGATTTGATATGTCTCAGAAAATTTTATTTGTAAAATTAGCTGCAAGATCACAAAGAAAGGTTGTTGATAATTTGCAAAGTATCTGGTCATAGGGAGCTGCAGAGGTGGCTGTTGAGGATGCTCTTATTTAATGCCTTCATTGTTAATTTGGAAGAGGTAGTGACACTCTTGCTGTGTTCATAAAAATTGCAGTTTATCCTAAATCTGGACGTGGTGTCAACACTGATCAGCCAGAGACTGACACAAAATGGTCCCAAAAAGGGAAAACTGGACAGATACAAGAGCTAACTGAGGAAAGTGTTTTAAGGTATGTTTTGATTTACCTTTCTTCACAGTGAACTGAGTTAGAATCTGACAGAAAAGCAGGGCCACACAGACTTGGAGGAAGAGGTGGACAATGGAAAAGAATCTGTTAGGTACTCGTGGGGACTAGTATTTGGCGAGGGCCCACCCTGTGCCAAATTCTGCACTTGGACCTCAACACTCTGTGAGTGGGTGCTCAGAGGAGACTCAGAGATGTTAAAAATTCTAGAATAGAAAAGGAGCTCAAAATCTTTCATAATCCAGTCATTATCCAGTAATTATAATATGACATAAATTTGACTCCCTTGGCTTCTAGGAGTGATATGGTTTGGCTATGTCCCCAACCAAATCTCAACTTGAATTGTTAAGTGTTGTGGGAGGGACCCGGGGAAAGGTAAATGAATCATGGGGGCCAGTCTTTTCCATACTATTCTGATGGTAGTGAATAAATATCACAAGATTTGATGGGTTTATCAGGGGGTTCTGCTTTTGCTTCCTCCTCATTCTCTCTTGTCTCTACCATGTAAGAAGTGCCTTTCATCCTCTGTCATGATTGTGAGACCTTCCCCAGCCATGTGGAAATCCAATTAAATCTTTTTTAACTGTAAGTTAAAACTTATTAACTGTAAGTCCAATTAAACCTTTTTCTTTTGTAATTTGCTCAGTCTGGATTTTTAAATCCTGTCCCTGCTAATCTCTCTATTTAAGGGAGGAAGGTGGCCCTGGGTACAAAGCTTGCAGCAAACAATGTGAGTCCATGTGGCCAGAACACCCAAAAACTAACATGTAGTCAGGGGTTCACGTGTGTTGTGCATGTTTTTGGTTACTTGCAGCTTACCACAGGTGACATTGATTTTTTTAACTGCAGCAATGATTAACATGTCTTCTAGGTATAAATGTACTTCAAAAAGAAGTGAGTTGATTTAAAGATCCAGGTCTTTGTTGGCATCATGAAAACAGACTAATAATATGCATAGTAAGTATAATTTGATAAAAAATGTGACTCCCTTGACTTCTAGGAGCTTGGGTTCCATAGTAGCACAAAAATCCCATGGCAGATGATCAACTGTGTATACTGACATATGTCTGTATACAAAGAACGTATATAAAAATAAGCTTATTTTAACCTTTGTAATCAATATGGGGGAAATGAAGCAAGGTTCTAAATGAACTACGGCAGATAGCTCAAGGGAAAGATGGTGGATGGTGTTCTTGTGGCACAACTTGCAACCACATTTGATTGAGAGAGTTCGCAAATCACATCAGAAGAGGGTAGCGATGATTTACTGTTGTACTAAAGTCCCACAGAATTGTGAAAACAAACCAAGAGGGAGCAGGCTTGTTTGGGATAGTGAAGAATGTGAAAGGGCAGTGGACTTGGAAATAGTCCTGGCTGTTCCTCTGACCAAGCCAACTCAGGAAAGTCACTGAGCATCCTGAGCACTGGTGATCTCATCTTTTACATGAGAAAAGTGTGTTCGTCTAGGAGTCATGAACTCAGATTTCTTAGGGTCCAGATAAACAATGTAAACATGTAAAGTTTCCGTAGGTGGTGGTGGGTCTTGTGGGTATTGGACAGTTATCACACCAGTTTTGGGAATTCAAAAGTTGGAAAACTTTGTACTGTTTAAATGAAACATCTTTGTTGATGGGTGATATGGTTTCGCTCTATCCCCACCCAAATCTCATCTTGAATTGTAGCTCCCATAACTCCCGTGTGTCACAGGAGGGACCTGGTGGGAGGTAATTGAATCATGGGGGCAGGTCTTTCCCATGCTGTTCTCATTTTTTTGTTGTTGTTTGAAGCCTCATGCACCTTTATTTCCCCAATGACACAAAAGATGGTTCTTCCACCCCTCTGGGATCCCTGCTGAACACACTGTCCTGGCGTTAATCCAAAAAGAGAAAAGTAATGACACCTCGGAGAATGGTCCATGACTCCACAGAGGCCAGACTGCCCTGTGGGAAGGGGCCTCCAGGCAACACAGCAGCACTGTGCTGGGAACCTGGATGGGCCCGTCACTGGGGTCACCTTCTCCTCCTTGGGGTGGGCTCTGCAGCCCCGACAGCTGCTTGTTCCTTTGGCTGATACTGGAGAGGGGCCCATTCACAAATCCCCTGGAATTGGCCACTGAAGCCCTCCCACCCCACCTCTCAAGACAGCTGGGAAGACTGCCTGTCACTGATGCCCCCCAGTGACACCAGCAGTATAGGCGGCCTTCATTATTAGGTCATAGTGAGAAAGCAAAGCCTTCTACAGTCTCTTCCCAGTCTCCTAATTACATCAAAGGTCAAGAGTGTTAGTCTTTATGGTGGCTCTGTCCCTGCTAATCTCTCTATTTAAGGGAGGAGGGTGGCCCTGGGTACAAAGCTCGCAGCAAACAATGTGAGTCCATGTGGCCAGAACACCCAAAAACTAACATGTAGTCAGGGGTTCACGTGTGTTATGCATGTTTTTAGTTACTTGCAGCTTACCACAGGTGGCATTGATTTTTTTAACTGCAGCAATGATTAACATGTCTTCCAGGTATAAATGTACTTCAAAAAGAAGTGAGTTGATTTAAAGATCCAGGTCTTAAAATAACAGTATAGGTGACACTGGATTGCCATGGTGGTCTGCATACACTGAAAGCTGTTCTAAAAATGTCAGAAGCTGCTCAAATTGTGGGGCCCTTTCCTGACCAAGAGGCACCTGTGTTCCCTTCTCCTGCAGGCAGGGACCAGGCCTTGGTTTTCACCAGGTCCCCTTCCAGGGACCCCATCCAGAGCAGCAGGAGGCCTGCAGGGTCATCAGGAGCAGCCTGCAGGGCCCATGGGCTCAGGCTTGCTGGGCAGTCTCAGGTGAGGCATGGAGCGCCCCTAAGCCTGGTTCTGTCCTGAAAGGGCACCTAAGCCTGAACAGAGCTGGTGCCTGCAAAACCTCCGGGAAGGCCTGGGTGTGAGTAGGTCTTTGATACATGCTGATGGCTGTCAATACCGTATGATCCACACTGGATGTTGAATGAGGAACACAGAAAGGAAAAGACCCCCTAAACAGTCCAATCAAACATCATGAAATACCGCGTGCCAGTTCTCAACGCCTCGCGGGCATGTCCCGGGCATATTGCGACAGTCCTGCCACGGTTATCCGCTCCTGTTCTGCGCACTTTTCTTTTCTTTTTTTTTTTTTGAGACAGAGTTTCGCTCTTGTTACCCAGGCTGGGGTGCAATGGCGCAATCTCGGCTCACCGCACCTCTGCCTCCTGGGTTCAGGCAATTCTCCTGCCTCAGCCTCCTGAGTAGCTGGGATTACAGGCACGCGCCACCATGCCCAGCTAATTTTTTGTATTTTTTTTTAGTAGAGACGGGGTTTCACTATGTTGACCAGGATGGTCTCGATCTCTTGACCTCCTGATCCACCAGCCTCGGCCTCCCAAAGTGCTGGGATTACAGGCGTGAGCCACCGCGCCCGGCCCGGCCTCACTCATCTGGTTTCCTAGACAGCAGTGTGCAGGAATGATCACTGACAGCCCCTCCAACAAGAAGGAGAAGAGGAGGAGTCTGGGCTATTTCGTACAGGGAGAAACAGCCCACAGAGATCAACATCCCCCTGGACGCCAGGGGGTCCCGGCTACGAGCTGAGCAGTTTCCCATCCTGGTCCTGTCATGGAACAGTGGATGACTCCCGGCAGCTTTCTTCACCTCTCCAAGCCCGTGTTCCCATCTGCCGCCGACACACCTGTTCCCACGGTTTCACTCTTTGCCGAGCTGCAAGTGCATTTGGGCAGCCTTCAGCCTGGCTGTTATGTGCATTTGCAAGCCCTCCCAGCAGGGCTGCGGAGGGCGAGCGGCCCAGGAAGGCTCCTTCCAGCCCCTTGCTAGGCCTTGGGATGCAGAACTGCTCAGTCAAGATGCTCAGGGCCATGGCGGGACCCTGCTCCGTGTGGCCTGTGTGGCAAGCAGCCTCTCTCTCTCCAGGAGAGGGTCTGTGCAGCTGGGATCCACAGACACCTGCTGGGTCTACTCTTTGAAGACTCTGCCCAAAGCCAGGGTGCTGGCCTGGTAAATTGCTGGTTGCAGGGGCTGTTCTCGTGGTCTTTCCCATGCTGTTCTCATTGAGTCTCACAAGTTCCGATGGTTTTATAAAGGGGAGTTCCCCTATACAAGTCCACTCTCGCTTGCCACCATGTAGATGTGGCCTTATTCCTCAATTGCCTTCTGCGATGATTGTGAGGCCTCCAAGCCATGTGGAACTGTGAATCAATTAAACCTCTTTCCTTTGTAAATTATCCAGTCTTGGATATGTCTTTGTTAGTAGTGTGAGAACAAACTACTACAGTGGGCAAGATCATCATCCCATTATATTATTGTATTCCCAAGGAAACAAAGGAAGGAGAAAGTGGGGGTGGATACAGAAAAACAGAGAGCAATGGAGAAAGCAGCATCCACAGGAAGGAGTCCCAGAACCCAAGTTCAGTCTGTTCCAAATTGCTGAGTCACAAACTTGGAAAAGCAGAGCTGTCCAGTCACCACAGAACTTTATACCGGTGCTATCCAGTAGAAATGAAATGTGAGCCACAAATGTAATTTTAAATTTTTCAGAAGTCACATTGAAAAAGTAAAAAGAAGCAGGTGAGGTAATTTAATGCTATATTGTATTTAATGCAATATATTAAACTTTTTTGTTTCAAGTATAATAAATTTATACATATCAGTGAAACGGTTTATATTTTTTTGTCCTAAGTCTTTGAAATCTGGAATGTATTTTACACACGCAGTATATCTCCGTTTGGACTAGCCACATTTAAAGTGCTTTAGAGCCTCACATAGCTAGTGGCTATAGTATTGCACAGTGCAGGTCTGGAAGGATCAGAAGAGAGAAAGCGAGGTGACCCAAAGGCTAATACAAACATCTATCGTTTAGAAGTCAGGTGTGTCAGAGAAGTACCAGGAAATGTGTTATTGAAAAAGATAGCAAAAGCTACTGTATATATTTTTCAAATTTATATGTAGTAAAATCCACTCTTTGTGGTATACAGATTTTGATAAATGCAGTCATGTGGTAGATACATCACTCAGAATAATGGACACAAAACAGCTTCATAACACTAAAATATTCCTTCCTGCTGCTCTTTTGTCATCCAATCCTCCCACAACTCCTAATTCCTAGAAACTACTGATCTGTTCTTTATGCGATAGCTTTGCCTTGTTCGAAACGTCATATAAGTGGAATTATACAATATATAATTTTTTGGGTCTATCTTCTTTCACTTAGCAAAATGCATTTGTGATTCATCAGTATTGTATGATTCTTAGTTTGTTTATTATTGTTGTAGATAGTATTCCATTGTATGGATAGACCAGTTTGTTTATGAACATTTGAATAGTTTTCAGCTCTTTTATAAAACCCAGTTTATAAATTTATTCATTTTTTTATGGATCGCGCTTTTGGTTTCTTATCTAAGAACTTTTTGCATAATACAAGACCACATACATTTTCTCTTTGACTTTTAAACAAATTTTATAGAGGTGGGTCTATGATCCATGTTAAGTTTAATAAAAGGTGTGAGGTATGGCTCATTTTTTTCATACAGACATCCAGCCCCATTGAATCCCCCTGTATTGTCCTACTTTTGTTAAAAATCAGTTGCCACATATTTATGAGTCTATTTCTGAAATTTGAGTCTGTTCTATTGATCTATATGCTCATCCTTTTACCAATAACTTACTGTCTGGATTACTACAGCTTTACAGTAAGTCTTGAAATCAGCTACTGTGAATCCTGCAACTTTGCCCCTTTTCTAAATTGTTTTGAGTATTTTAGTTCCTTTCCTATATTATACAAATATTACAAATAGCTTTCAATATCAATAAAAGATTCTCCTGGGATTTTCACTGGGATTTCTTTGAATTGCTAAATCAGTTTGGGGAAGAATTTCCATGTTAATAATATTTAGTCCAACTATAAAACAGAGTCTATCTCTCCACTTCCTTTAGT